AGTATACTGTAGAAATAATTAAATTAAATATATATATATATATATATATATATGTGTGTGTGTGTGTGTGTGTGTGTGGTTCGCGAATGTTTTGACATATTGTACGTAGATATAATAAATATATCTTCAACTAGAAACAGATCATAGAAAAAGTCATATCGATATTTACTTATCCTTAGTTTAGTTTTGTAGCCCGTACTAAATATTTACACACACACACACACATATATATATATAACACGTGTTTCTAGACACACACACACACACACACACATATATATAACACGTGTTTCTAGACACACACACACACACATATATATATATATACGTTTAGTGTGGGCTACAAAATGATATATATATGTATATAAATTGTACATCCAAGTTTAACTAATTATTGCTAGGATGCAAAATTATTTATTCTATAGATGTAAAACTCCCGGTGGTTCAGCGGTTAGCTAGAGAACGTATAGTGTAAAATTAGGGGTTCGATCCCTGCGAAGGACACAGTGTAGATAGTCCCTTTGTATGTAGCTTTATGTTAAAACAAAAACAAATACACCATATCCAAATAAATAAATCTTATTTTGTGAAAAACAAACTTTGATGATTCACAAGTGAACAAAGTTGTTTATAATTATTTGTATATATTTAAAGTTTGTCGAAACTCGGATCTATTTACAGACTAGTTATTAATTCAATATGTATTATGAGCTTCTTAAATTCATTTTATTAAAAAAATGAACTTTTATGGACAATAACATATTATTTGGGTCACGGCAAGCAATAATGTGTTTCAAATTTTGGAAAGCTATCTGCAAACTAAACAATGCATCATATTAACATTATACTTCAAAATTTTAATCTCACACGTACAAGCAATTAATACTACTTAGTCCATGTAATAATCGTGTTACAACCGCCACCGTGTGCCATATGATAGTTCATAAATATTGTACAGGATGTTTAATTTTATTCTTTTTCTTACAGGGAAAGCTTATTTCGAATATTTTTTTTTGTTTTAGAGCAAAGCATTCAGCTACTTGCTGTGTCCACCGCGGGGAATCGAACCCCAGATTTTAGCGCTGTCCTAACGGAGGAATTATTTCAGATAATATCTCCTCTTTTGCCTTTGTTAAAGTGCTGTGAATTAAACTTGTAATAAAGATTAACATTGCAGGTATCTGGTGTGATTTTGTTTGTACCCCAATCTTTAAAACTTCCATTATAAAAGAGTATTTGAGACAGCTAGTTTTGAATTTATAGCTGTCAACTGACTTAAGTCGGAAATATCAAACATTTGTCCATAAAAATAACAAAACCTACTCTTTGATTAGCAAAGAGCTGCGTTTTAGAACTGTATCAACTTCTCTCACACTACGAATAAAATTAACAACGATAATGTCACTGATTAAAAGAAAAGAAGCTTATCACAAACTAGTTCAACATCGAAAATATTATTTAATAAAGGTGGAGAAGCATGTTACAAACTGGATTAACATCGTGAATGTCGCTTAATAAAGTTGGAGATGCATGTTACAAACTGGATTAACATCGTGAATGTCGCTTAATAAAGGTGGAGATGCATGCTACAAACTGGATTAACATCGTGAATGTCGCTTAATAAAGGTGGAGATGCATGCTACAAACTGGGTTAACATCGTGAATGTCGCTTAATAAAGTTGGAGAAGCATGTTATAAACTGGGTTAACATCGTGAATGTCAATTACAAAGGTGTAGACACATACCTGAAATATTAATTCTTTAACATAAAAAACGTTTTGTTTCACAGAAGATAGACATGTTTTTGTTATAGTTGAATTTTCGTTTATTTCTGACTTACATGTCGGTTAAGATTAATGTAAAATGGACGAGCAAATTTATAGATACGTTTTTCTCTTTTCTCTATCTAGTTGGATGCTTTTTCAAACCCCTGGTTGGTGAATGAACTACAGAGCACCAAGGAGGATCTGCAGAAAACTGAAACTCAATTAAGTATGCTTTGTCTGGTCGTGTTAAATCTGTTAGCTATAACTTATACATGTCAAACTTAACTACAAAGTTTCATTTATTTTGGATGCTTAGTTAATTAATCTGTACGTACATGTAGGAATATCTAAGTAAAACAACAACAATAGTAGTTTTGCACACAACTTAGTTTTATGTGACTGGCTAATTTCATCATAATTAAGCCGCGTGATCTAAGAAAGCCGTGGGAGAGTATTGTTGCGTCAGCAGTCACATGACCGCCGTGACGCAACGTTTCTAGAACTATCATGTACTTTGTCGAATGGTCTAGTAATTACTAGA